TATATAACCAGTGTATATTTATACAAAAATTGACAGAACTATTAAAAAATAATAATAATAATAATAATAATCGAAAGTGTACATATATATATATATATTTTTGTGTATCGATTTTCATTAATATCATTATTATTAATTATTTATTTATAATGATAAATAATTCATTGAATAAAAATTGACATGATAATTACGCGGCTTATGATTATTAATAATAATAATAATAATAATATTAATAATAGTAATAATAGTAATAATAATAATAACAAAGTTCATTATTTTAAATGAATTAATATTATTAAAATTATTTTGTATAAGTTTATGATTGCTTATTATTAATATTATTTTATTTTTTTTCTTTGTCTTGTTCAGCCATGTTTAATTATTAAAAATGAAATAAAATAATAAATATTAAAATTTAATTTTTTGTAAATGCTTGTTTGCTGTTTGTTTTTGTTTGTTTTTTCTTAATCTTGTAAAAAAAAAAAAAAAAAAGAAATTAATTTGATTATCGTAGTCTTTTTGTTTGTTTGTTTGTTTTTGTTTTCATTAAGAAAACGTGAAACGTTGTGTCGTGTTATGTTAAATCTATATGAAGAATCAAATTCCGTATGATTTTTTACGAATTCGGGGGGGGGAGGGGGGAAACAATTTTTTTTAATTACTTTTTCACGTGTAAAAAAAAAAAAATGAGGAATTTTTTTTACGTTTTTAATTGCTTAACCAAAGGGTAAAAAAAAAAAAAATTGGAAAGTGTGATATGTTACACAACAACCAAACGCAAGTGCTTTATTATTATTATTATTATTATTTTATTTGAAACGTTCGAAAAATAAATAAAATAAATAAATTTATAAATATATATATATTTCGTTGTTAACTTTTTTTTTTTTCTTTTTAAATTAATAAATAAATAAATAAATTAGAAATCTGATGAGAAAACATGATTGCAATCAGGGTAAACTGAATTTTTTTTATTTTTCTTTTTGTGCAATTTTTATTTTTTTTATTTTTATTTTCAATATTATATATTATTTATATATTTAAAATTTATATTATATATAAAAAAAAGAAAAATTTAAATATTATTTATTTATATATATATATTTGAATAATAAAACAATTGGCCGTGTTGTGTGTGTTAATGATAAATGTTTTATTTGTAACCCCCCTTTTTTTTTTATTATTATTATTATTAATTAATTTGCGTTTAATAATTATTTGTTTATGTTCAATTAATAATAATAATAATAGTTATTATCATTAATTATTTAAATAAAAAAAAAAAATTCCATCGGCTTCATTTTTATCTTGTGCCATAAGAGTTTTGTTTTGTTTTTTTATTTATATAAAATTCTGTATTAGTTTATAGAGTAAAAAAATTCTTTTTCCTTTTATTATTATTATTAATATTATTATTTTCAATATTATTATTATTATTACTACTACTATTATTCCTATTATTATTATTACTAACCAATGTAATATTTTGAATATAAAGTGGCTTTATGATTGCAATTAGCGTTAATAAAATACAATTATAATAAAATTATAAATTATTTAAAAAAAAAAAAAAAAAAAATTTTTTTCTTCTTTTTTTTTTTTTAATTACCTTACAATTATTATTATTATTATTTTATAAAATTTTAAAAGTATTTAAGGTTGTGTTCGTGTTATTGCCGAATCGTATTTTCTTAATTCTTTAACATAACGATTATAATCGTCATTAATAAGTTTTTTCAAAGCTGCTCGTCGAATCTAAAACGATAAAAAATGGTAATTAATGTTGAATTTTTTCCACCATTTTTTTTTTTTTTTTTTTGAAATTTTGTTATGAAAAATCTAACGGTTATGAAAGCTTTATTTTCCATATATATTTCATCCCGTATAAAACATAATTGTGGTCTAAGAGCTATTGTTATATTTGGATCGCATTCTGGATTAATTGGTGGTCCTAAATCGTTAAGTATCGATTGACTGTAAAAGACAAATGTTTCAATCATAATAATAATTATAATTATTATTATTTAAAAAAAAGAAAATCTTACAATTTAAGGAATACATCACTCATGGAAGACATTTTGTAAAAAAAAATTATTTTTAAAACCTTTTTTTTTTTTTTTTTTTTTTTAAAAACCTACATATATATTATTATTGTTTTAAATCTTTTTTACAAAAAAAAAAATAAAAAATAAAAAAATTATAATTTATTAAAATTAAAACTTTATTAATTATAGTTTTTTTTTTTTCGTTTTAAATTTAAAAAATTTATTTTTATTTTAAAATTTGGAATTTGGAAACTTTTACTGTAGTAGTAGTGGTAGTAATACGCATTTATTTGTAAAAATTATAACGTCGATGGTTAAAAAATATAAATTTAGATTTTCATTCGGGAAAAATTTTAAAAAAAAAAATATTAAAATGTCTTTAAAGATTGTTTTATTTTAAATAAATAAATAAAATTATTAACGGTTAAACACTTTTTTTTAAAAAAATCTTTCATAAAAGATTTTGTAGTCTATGACAAATAGAACATGACTTTCACAATGTTTTTTGTATGTCTATGGTTTATTTTAAGGTAGACTGATTGGTCGTTTTTTTTAAAAAATGTTTTATTAAATAATTTTTTTTTGTTTTTAATTTTAACATCGGACGACTGATATATTGACAAAATGATTCAAAATCATTTAAAATAAACATGACTTTTAAAATGAAGATTTAATATGTTTTCATAATTTTTTACTTAAAAAAAATTTAAAAAAAAAAAAAATGGATTTGCAGGACGACACTCGGTTTCGAATAACACCGGTACAACAAATGGCAGCAGCTTGTTCTGGAGCTTTAATAACTTCACTGATAGGTAAGCATAATCATTTAGTCATTATTTATCATTAGAAAAGTTAACGATAAATATAAATAAGTGTTACCGCCTTTTATTGTTTCAAAAAAAACCTCACAAAAAACTTATTGGTTATACTAATTTTTGATTGGACGGCGGTTTTTTGAATTCTTTTTAAAAACCATATGGACGTAAGTAATTATTTTGAAAAATAAACTTGGACTTCAATTTTTTTTTATTTTTAGTCACACCATTAGATGTAGTTAAAATTAGACTTCAAGCTCAACAAAAATCTGTGGAAAGTAAATGTTTCTTGTATTGTAATGGTTTAATGGATCATTTGTGTCCATGTTTTTCTGATAATGGAACTGGAAATCCACCGAATCCTCAATGTCACCTCTCACCGAATTGGTATCAGAGACCTGGAAAATTTTCTGGAACTTTAGTAAATTGATAATTTTTTAAAACTATTATAATTAATGATTTTTACTCAAAAACAGAAAGAAATAATAAAATACTTGATTAAATTTTTAAATACTTTTTAAAGGATGCTTTCGTCAAAATTACCAAAACTGAGGGTTTAGTATCGTTATGGAGTGGATTAAGTCCGACATTAGTTTTAGCTATTCCATCTACGGTTGTTTATTTTGTAACATATGAACAGTTAAGAGTTAAAATGAATGATTTAATGGGAACTAGTGCCTGTATAAATTCTGCAAATTCTTCAGATAAAGCACAACCATTTTGGGTAAGTGTAATTTTTTTATTATTGTCAAAATATATTAGTTAAAGGATGTAAAAACACTTTTTTTTAAAAATTTATATTGAATTTTTTTTGCAGATACCCTTACTGGCTGGAGCTACTGCTAGAATTTGGTCTGCTAGTTTAGTTAGTCCTTTGGAATTAGTTAGAACGAAAATGCAATCTAAAAGATTAAGTTATTTAGAAATAGGACAAGCTTTAAAAAGTCTTTTACAATATCATGGAGTTACAGGTTTATGGAAGGGATTAGGATCAACTTTGTTAAGAGACGTTCCATTTTCAGCAATTTATTGGGTTCATTATGAATGGTTCAAATCTAAATTTATACCATTAAATGAAGTTCAAGCTCCAAATGTAGCATTTAGTTTTCTAGGTGGTGCTTTATCTGGATGTGTAAGTACTAATACAACTAAGGTTTTTTTTTTTTTTTTTTTTGTAAATTACATTCGATAATATTTTTTTTTTTTTTTTATGACAGGTAGCGGCTTTTATTACGACACCATTTGATGTTGCCAAAACTCATCAACAAATTGAATTAGGTGAAATGGAAATTTACAGAGGTAAATGTAAAAATGTAATATTGTGCAATACAGTAATTAATAACTTAAATATTTATTGTTTTCAATGAACAGTTTTGTTACTAAGTTAAAAAAAAAATCATAGCATATGTGATAATTTTAATATTTGCTTTTTTTACATTACTAATGACTCATTTCAGATTTTTATTATAGATTTCATTATAGATTTGTTAACGTCATTTTAAAATTGAAAAGAAAATTTTTTAAAGAATTAATTTTCACTTTTTTCTGTAATTTTTTAGAGCCTCCAGGAAAAATAAAATCGACAACATATTCAATATTGAAAAAAATTTATTCTCAAAATGGTTTTTCTGGAATTTTTGCTGGATTAACGCCTCGATTAGTTAAAGTGGCTCCGGCTTGTGCTATAATGGTATCAACATTCGAATATGGAAAATCATTTTTTGAACGGCGAAATAAAAAAATTTTTGATTGTAAACAATCAAATTCTAATAAAAAATGAGAGGGAAAAAAACAGTTTTTAATAATTATGATGAATAAAAATACATACGAAGAAATGTATAAGTGCTATGTATAAACTGTGATTTTGAAATGTTACTTTTATAAAAAAAAAAAAAAAATTATTAATTTAGAGACCCGTACGTAATTATTAATTGAAATTAATCATAGAAGTGTAAAGATGAATTTTTTTACGTAACGTTCCTTTTTTTTTTGTTATAGTTTAAATTTAATTTATATATATATTTCTAAGTAAAAATTACCTATTGACCAAAGCAAAATTTATTGTTAATTTTTTAATGGGTTTAGATTATTTATAAATAAATATTTTTAAATTAAAATCATATTTTTTGTCTTTTTAGTTTCGACCTCAGTGGTTTTTTATACTTCAATTCATAGTCGGCCATTTTGATTTTCCACTTGTATGTCTATGGTTTTTTTTAGTTGGATGAAGTAGAGGTTTACAAACAAATATTGTAATAATTTATTTTAATTATTTTTTTGTGTAATAATTAAAGGTGATAACAGTGTTTTTTTTCTCAGTTTATGATATAACGTAAATTTTTTATTTAATTTAATTACTTTTATAAAGTTTTAAGCTTTTTTGGTTAACGTTTAAAAATTTGTTTATATCACTTGTTTCCGCTTTTAACGAATAATTTTTTATATTTATTTTTTAAATATTAATATTATTGGTATTAATTTGTAACAAAAATCTTTATCCTGAATTTTATTCTTATTTTAAATTCTATAATTTTTTTTTACATTTGTTTATTACCTCTCGAATAAAATTTAAAAAATTTTTAATTATTCTACTACTTTCAAAAATTATTTTATTTCTATAAGAAATTTTAAAGTTTTTGTAATTAAACAAGAATATACTATAAATTATAATTTTTATTATAAAAGTAAAACGTAAATTTGTTTTGTGAAATGAGTAGGGTCAAAAGATTTTGAGTCTGATATTTTTTAAGACTGTCAAAAACTGATTGCCAGGTTAATTTCAAATTAGAGTCAAGACAAATTAAAAAAGAAAACCTTTTTTTTGTGTTTCCAACATAATGTTATTTTGTTTTATGCTTTATTTTATTTTTTTTTATTTTAGAAACTCCATAAATTAATTCTTTTTTTTAGTTTAAAATGTCACTTGCCAATTCAAGAGAACGGCGTTCCAACGCCGGTAACAAAATGGCAAAACTAATGGATGCTGAAGAAGAAGATGATTTTTACAAAAATACTTATGGTGGTTTTGACGAAAAAGAAGATGATGATGACTATAAGGAGGAAAAAGAAGTTGAAGATGTAACTGATTCTGATATTAGTATTGATGAAAATGATGAAGTGATTTCCGAAGATGAAAATGAACCCAAGAGAAAAAAAACTGGAGTCGCTACGAAAGCATACAAAGAACCTAAAACTGTAAATAATCAACAAGTCAAAAGAAATGAAAACAGTGCTTCTAAATCGAAAAAGCAAATATCTAAAATTATTCAAAGTAAAGTAGACAAATTGGAAAGGAAATCGATTCGAAGGTCGACAGCAGCAAAATCAGCTGCTACCATGCAAAGACTTAAAAATAGAATTGAAATTCAAAAAAGGAGAAAAATGAAAAGAATTCCGCAGCAAGAAGTTTGGAAGCCGACTCAAGAAGAACTTTTGGAAGAAGCCAAAATCACAGAAGAAGAAAATTTAAAATCTTTAGAAAAATATCAAAAATTAGAATTGGAAAAAAAGAAAACTAGAATAGTGAAAAAAGTATTTACCGGTCCAGTAATTAGATACCAATCATTGACAATGCCTCTTATTAAAGAAATAACAGATGAAAAGATTAATATAATCAGTGACGAACAATCTGAAAATATTGTTGAAAATACAGACAGTGATAAAGAATCGAAAAGTAAAAATGATGAAGTCGAAGAAAAAGTGGAAAGAACATTTATCACATTTGAAAATGATGAAATATTAAATTGTATTTTTAAAAATTCTAAAATTGAAGAAAGACCAAAACTGTGTCCCATTACAAGGTCAGACATTTACAAACGACACTCGTTAAAACAATTATTCAAACATTATCATAATATCGGATACTTTTTTTACATTTACCGATTTCCTTTTCATTTTATTTCAGGCTTAAAGCGAAATATTTTGATCCAGTCACTAATTTACCATTTAGTAATTTGCAAGCATTCAGAATATTAAGAGAAGCTTATTATCAACAATTGGAAGCGAGGGGCAACAGGAATCAACCTCAGGTAGCAGCTTGGTTAGAATGGAGAAAACAACAAAAGGATGCACAAATGAAAAAACTATTAAAAATAACAAAATAGTCGAATAATTTTTTAAATTGTTTTTTTTTTTTTTAATTTAACTATAATATAAAAATTTTTTAAATATACAAAAATATTTATTTAATATGTATATATATATTTTAATAAGACTTTTTTTTTTTTTTTTTTTATTAAAAACAAATTACATAAATATTTTGTAAATTTTATATATATATATAAATATCATCATTCGATTACATCTTAATACGTATAAATAAATAATTAAATTAATAAATAATTAATTTTAGTACCATACATAACATTTGAACAATTTTTTTTATGTATTGATAATTTATTAACTGTATGTAAATTAATATGTAAAACAATTAAGGCATTAATTGATTTTAAAAATAATTTTTTCTTTTGGCAGTAAATTATTTTTTTGTTGGCAAAATTTTTGTGATTTGTGTACATACATTTTATTATTCATTTTTTATAATAATATATTCTGCCGTGAAGATAATAATAATAATAATAACAACAATATTAATAATATTCTATAGATAAATTGCAGCCTTTTTAAAAATTTATCTAATTGATTATTTAATTAAATGGAAGACTAATAATAATAATAACAATAATTAATTTAATAAAATATTTCTATGTCGGATGATATTTTAATGTTAAAAAAATATTTTTTGATTTTATTATAAATTATTACCCCAAATTATCACAACCATTTTTTGTGACATTAATTGTTTTATTATTATTATTATTATTATTATTATTTAAATTCACGTATCTGAATCTTTATCAATTGAATTAATTTGTCTATCTTTTGGTAAAAAGAATCCCAATATGGCTCCAGCTGAAAAGTGTTAAAATGAATGTTTAAAAGCTAATATTTTATTTTATTTTAAATTATAAAATTAATTATAACTTACATAATATTACAAATCCCATTAAAAATATAGGAACTTCACAACTAATATCTAAAACGTATCCTAAAGTTAAATTGCTGGCTACCGCTCCGAGCCTTCCAGCAAAAACAGCCGTACAAACGGCTAAAGCCCTAAAAAAAATTTAATTTTTAATTTTTTTTATTTTAGTTTATTTAAAAAAAAAAAAAAAAAAGAAATTATTGATCATCTTACTTACCTCACTTTAGTTGTAAATAAATCAACGATGACGGAAGTGATGACCATATTTCCAGTACCAACAAATGTAAGAAATATACAAGAAATTAAAAGATTTTGATTAGGAGTCCTTAAGAAATAAATGGCAATGGCGGATAAACCGGATATTATGGCTGTCACGACTAAAAAA